AGCATATTAGTATATTAAAGGGCAATGCAATGAAGAGACTCAATATTATGAGGGCACTATCAAAATACACATGGGGTGCGGACGAGACCACCTTACTTAATCTTACTTACTCATATAGAGCTTTATTCTGCTTAAAACTGGACTACGGCAGCTTCACATACATGTCTACATTAAAATCTGACTTAAAGCTATTGAACTATGTGCATAACACTTCTATTCGTCTTTGCTTAGGCGCTTGCAAATCTAGTCCCATAGTTCTTTTACTGCGAGGCTAATGAACCACCTCTATGGATTTGATGAGAGTATCTTTTACAATCTTCCTTTTTTTCGTATCCGCAAATCCATCCAATCCAGTCTACCATTTAATTACTTCAACATCGCCTTCAGAGACACCGCAAAGGATGTAGTCAATAATAGACATCCAGAAATTAACTTCTAGAAAAACTATCGACCTTACTAAAACACATCCCTTCTTAATCCCGGATACTCCACCTTGGAATAGACAAATCCCACATTCAATCACTTCTCTATTAGAATACAGTAAACATGAAACCGAATAGAGCAAGAGACAACGGAGGAAATCGAGATCAAGAAAGGCGTAAGACAGGGTTGTATACTCTCACCGACCTTATTCAATCTATACTCCGAAGACATTATAAACACAGCACTTTCGGATCAAAATATAGGTATTAAGATAAATGGCATCCGAATAAACAACTTGAGATATGCCGATGACACGGTACTAATCGCAGAAACTTGGGAAGATCTTCAAATACTAATTAACAAAATAGTGGAATGCAGTGAAGAACACGGATTATCACTTAACATAAGCAAAACAAAAATAATGCTAATATCTAAATCACCACAAAACTTCCCTGACATAACCGGGCATGATCAAAGAATCGAACGTGTAAGAAGATATAATTACCTAGGAACTGTTATCAATGAAAATAATGACTGCTCTGAAGAAATCAGAACCAGAATAAAGAAAGCTAGAGCCACATTTACTAAATTGAAAAAGGTGTTCTGCGGAAGAGATCTAAGTCTAAAACTTAAAATTCGCCTTTTGAGATGTTACGTTATGTCAGTTCTCCTCTAAGGGATGGAAACATGGACATTGAAAAAGATCGATACCAAAAAGATAGAAGCATTTGAGTTGTGGATGTATCGTAGAATATTAAAAATACCCTGGACAGAGAAAGTAACAAATGTGGAGGTTTTGCGGAGAGTGCGGAAAGAGAAAGAGCTGATACTTACTGTTAAAAAGCGCAAACTACAAAATTTGGGACATGTTATGAGGGGAGATAAATACCAGTTGCTGCAATTGATTATACAGGGAAAGATAATGGGAAAGAGATCTATAGGAAGAAGAAGGCATTCATGGTTGAAAAACTTGAGAGAATGGTACAATTGCACCAATTACCAACTGTTTAGATCTGCAGCATCAAAAATACGCATAGCTTTGTTGATAGCCAAACTTCGGAACGAAGACGGCACTTGAAGAAGAAACATGAAACCTCAAGCCTTCTCATAAGGCAAAAATTCAAATAAATCATAAGCAAGAACCAATTCCAAAAAAATTCTGTATATAGATGCCTCCAAAAGCGAAACAGTCGTTGGATGTGCAGTTACCACATATGATGAAATAATAAAATCATCTTTTCACCGAATTTATGCAGTGTTGGAAAACTTTATGCGGTACTAGAAGCTTTTAAAAATATAAAAACAGATGATAAAAACCAAGTCACAGTGCACAGACTCCCTGTCGTTACTACAATCGATAAAAGTCTATACTCTTAGCATCCCTTAGTTCAAGAAATCCATAGGACTTACAGTGGACTCGCTTTTCAGGGTGTAAATATCACCATCATCTGCCTACCATCCCGTATCATCGGCATCCCCGATAATGAAAAAGCAGACCAAGCAGCGAAAAAGCTTTTTGTGTAAACAGTCAATACTCAAAAGCCCAACATATTTAAATCCGTAATGACCTAAAGCAAATTTTCAAGCAACAACAGTATCATAGCTGGCAAATCCACTGGAATACAATCAAGAATGCATTACATGAGATTCGGCGGACTGTTGAAAAATTTTAACTTCCAACAATCTCTAGAAACGAAAAAGCTGTCATCCGAAGATTAAGAATAGAACATACCCGATTCACACATGAATACTTAATGAAGTCTGAACCGAAGACCAATTGCCAAATCTGCTCAAGTGTATTAACTGTAAAACATATCCCAATCGAGTGTCCCCGGTACGCAAAACACAGAGTGCAACATGAACTTAAGTCAAATATCAAAGACGTTTTAAACTCACCCGATCAAGTTTTTAACGTAATTGGTTTCTTGAAAGACATTCAGTTGTTCATTAATTTAAATAAAAAAAAATATGAATAAACTTAATAAAAATGAACAATATTCCACACTCTTAATGAGGGAAGTCTTTCTTGCTATTTCCCTGAAGCTGTCCGGGAATAGTCTTACTGAAATCTGGACCTCTGAAGGAACAGCTTAAGGGTGACAAGCAAAGGTGCACATCCAAAAAACTTAATTCTTTTTTTCTTTTAATAAATTACAAAAAAATAAAAAGAAAGAATCCTTGACTCCGTATTTACATTTTTAAATATGCTAAAAAGAACATTTGTGTTAGAGTTCCTTCTTAGGCTTAATAAAAAGTACGGAAAAACACAAGGTTTATTAACAAATAAAATAACTTGAAAGGTATTACAAAAAGTTACTGGAAAGATTGATGAAAGCAAAAAGCCTGTTTTATTTTTATAAGTAATGTGACCTTCGTATGGTTTGACAATATTTTATGTAAAATGGATTAATTAAATAGATAATTTTAACGAAAAGCGTGGTATGAATATATTTTATAATATAAAAGAACGGAATAAGACAGAATAGTTTTATACAGTCCGTCCCAAACCCTTCTTTCAGTGCGTCATAGTTGTTCGAATTCTCTCTAACGCATTAAGCTAGAAGTGACAGAAAAAAACCCGAGTCGCTGATTATTATACATAGAACTTTATGAAGATCCATAGAACTTTATTAGAAAATTAGGTATCGTTCACGGGTATTCGCATATTAAAGCGAATTCTACTTACGAACGTATAATTGGTTGGAGTTTAGAATACGCTAAATAGATATCCAATCAATTATGCATGTAAATATAATTTGACACAGATGATCTTGATAATGACAGTGACAGTACTTTCACAATGTCAACTGATAAAATGATAATTGCCATTCCAGGTTAGTATTTTCAGACATTTTAACTACAGTGAAAATTAAATTTTGTATTTATTGTCATAAAAATATTTTAAATATTCCGAGATATACCGAGAATGAAAAAAGACTAATATTAAAATTATTAAATTAGTTTCAATTAGAAAAAGAGGCTGAGACATCTTTATTATCAGTTTCTGTCGTTCGCGAATCAGATTGTGAATTCTGGAATGAGATTGAGGAAATATCTTAAACTACCTAATGCCTTTATGGATATTTATATGTATTAAAACGGTTCTTTTTAGAACCATGACATTTTTTTGAAATGTAGGATATAATTGATACCAGCCACATATCTAGTGTAATCATTGATTTTCAAGAATCAGATTCTGAATGGAATTATAGATTGTTTGAAATATAATATTCATTTTTGTAAATTCATTCATAAAAAAGAAGGTAAACTTACATTCGGTATCTTGTTTTTTAACTAAACTCCATTAGCACGATTTCATCTGGATATCGGAACTGGTAGATTAACTCAAAAATCAACTGCTTCACTATTTAAACTATTTATATTGTTTTTTTTAACTAAACTTTATAACCTTCTTTCATTTGCACACCAATCCTGGTAGAATAACTTTAAAATCAACTGCTTCACTATTTAAACTATTTCCACTATTTAATGACAACTCTTCACAAAATTAAACTATTGGCTGCCACACAAACTTATCAGAAAATTACTTATCCAAATATGACTGATTTAAATCGATATTATTTTATCACAGGAATGTTTACTTTGATGCCTTGCAATTGTCAGTAAATTTTTTTACCTTGCAGTCAACTCTTAAAAGATTCTAGGAGGAAGCGTTATTTTAAATAAACAAACCTTCCAATTCCCTAGTGTTTGTAATAAATAATAATAAATCTATAAACAAATCTTAGCTAATTAAGCACTTTCCATGGAATGTATAAAATAGAACAGAATAGAATAGAATTATGAAAAACTGCTATGCATTAAAAAAAAATAACCTTTTCACGTTTAGCCGATTACGATCCTGCAACTGTCAGATTTAACTAAAATGTCATGCAATAATTCCCGACATTCTTAAAATCCTATATGACGTTAAAATTAGTGACGCACTGAAAAAGGGTTTGGGACAGACTGTAGATAGTCTTAATAGATATAATAGATAGATTTAAAGATAGATAATTATATGTTTTTAAGGCCAGGAAATAAAATAGATAATTGATATGATTTTATATCATGACTATATCTAAATTCAGAATATTTGTTAATGAAATAATGTGAGAAATAACAGATAGATATATCAATTATCAAAGGAAAAATGATGATATTATAGAAGTCATGATGGCTGATCGTTTTATACTTTTTATTGATAATTGGATCCACTTACCGGCTCAGAGTGGCTACAATTCAAACAGGACACCCAAAAAAAAAAAAAAATAAACCGAAACTTCCTGCACCTTCTTCTTCCCCAAAAATCTTTAACATTCTAAAAAACCTCTAAACCATCACAGGCTACCAACTTTTTAAACCCAAGTTTTTTTACCCAAAGACAGAACAGAAGTGCGCGGTGACCACTAGCTTCTAGTCAGGTAATCATGTCTGCCCATAATTGTGACGGACTCGTTACAATACACCTTTAGGAAATATAAAAAAACATAATAGATAAACAGTAAAATGAATTTATATAAATATATTTCTCTTCCGTAAAATATTGTTTACTAACAGTTTTAATTGTACTTTAGATGTACTGTGATATATGGAACGCCTACGATGTATGTTGATTTGGTGTCTCAACAAAGGAAACGTAATGAAAACCTGAAAGCAGAACTGGCTCTATCTGGAGGAGCATTGTGCCCCCCAACATTGTTTAAAGACATGCTTGATATTCTTAAAGTAAAAACAGTAAAAGTAAGTATAACTTTACTATAAGAGAAACATTTTCTTCTTCTTTAACCGTTCAGCCTTCTTTGCAATACATGAATTTTTCTCTTACTTGCCATCCATACTGGCTCTCTAGTTTTCTCTATTCTGAGCTAGCCGGTACAATTTTATCCCTTTGTTCTTTATAAGTCACCGTACCATCTTCGTTGCGGTCTTCCTATGCTTCTTCTTTCTCCTTATGGTGTCCATTAAGTCACATTTCCAATAGGAGAAAAATGTATAACCTCTAATCTTATTTCACATCGTTATTTAATTATAAATTTATACGACTAACAGGTATTACTTTGACCCTTCTGCTTCTTCTTTGACGTTGGATATCATTAGGGCGATTCTTATTTTATTTACTGCTGTTTTTAATAATTCGTTAGTTGTATAGCCAAACCGCACTCTTAAATTTCTCATCCAGGACTTTCTTCTACGGCCTGGATTTCTGCGTCCTTGGATTTTACCTTGCATTATATTTTGTAGAAATGTGTACTTTTGTCCTCTCATTAGGTGGCCGAAGTATTCAAGTTTTCCCTTTTTCATATTCAGTATAACTTCTGAATCGTTATTTATTCTGCGTATGACCTCTTCATTTGTAATTTTGTCCACCCAACTTATTTTTAGTATACGGCGGTAGCACCACATATCAAAGCTTTCAAGACTTTTAACATTCCTCTGTTTAAGAGTCCATGCCTCAACACCGTAAAACAAAGTACTGAATATATAGCATTTTAACATTCTAGTGAGTAGATGAATACTAATATCACGATTACAAAATAATTTCTTCATTTTTATAAAGGTAGACCTGGCAATTTCAATACGTCTTTTTTTCTCGTTATTTTAGTCACCTGTTTCATTGAGGAGGGTTCCCAAGTATTTGTATTCGCTTACTTTTTCGATTTGGGTACCGTTTATTGCGATACTAGTGTCATGTATTGGATTCTTACTGAAGGTCATATATTTGGTTTTTCTTTTGCCGTTCATCCTTATCACAGGTTCGTCATCATATCGAATGTTATTGATAACTTCTCCAATGACTATTATCCCTTTGTTTGCATGTGAGAGAGCTTCTTGGCATATTTGTTCGCTGTAGATATTAAACAAGAGCGGTGGCAATACACAACCCTATCGTATTTCTCTGCGTATTTCCATTTCGTTCGATGTTTGGTCATCTATTTTTATATTAGTTTGCTGATTTTACTACAGATTTAATATTATTTGTACGTCTCTGGTGTCGATGTTCTTACCCTCCAGGATTTCTTTGAGTTTATTGTGGCGTACTTTGTCAAAGCCCTTTTCAAAGTCTATAAAGCAGGCGTGTACCTTTTAGTTAACATCTAGACATCTCTGTGTTAAGACGTTTAAGGCAAAAAAAGCTTCTCATCAAGGAGATTATCTGAACATTGCATTGCCTTAGTTTTCTTCGGTATGGTGACAAACGTAGACAGCAACCATTCTTGAGGTATTATACCTGTACTGTATATTGTATTGAATAGATATAATATTATGGATACGGATTTATCATTCAAAAGCTTCAACAGTTCTCTAGGGATTTCATTAGGTCTATTTGCTTTTCCATTTTTAGCGTTTCTTATTGCGTATTCTACCTCTTCTTTCAATAGGTCTGGCCCAATTGCATTGATTATCTGAGTTAAGTTGTTTCTATCGTCTTCAAGTAATTTATTCAGGTATTCTGCCCATCTTTTTATTTTATTCTCTGGATCTAGTTAATCAATGTTTCCAGATATGCATATTTGTCCACTTGTTCGACGTTGGTTCCGTTTATTAGAAGATTCTCGTTATTTTTTGAGTTTTCGATATTTTGATCTTCTACCAAAGGTTGGAAATCATCATGGCTATGCAGATCCTGTTGAATGCCGCTATAAATTGTTCTATACTACTGCATTCAAAACATTCCCTTAAGTTCTTAAGCCATGATATTTTTCGTCTTCCCATATTTCGCTGTCCTCGAATTTTGTCTTGCATAATAAGTTGCAATAATGAGTATTTTTGCCCTCTCATAACATGTCCCTAGTACTCAAGTTTTCTTCTTGAGATAGTCAATATTATTTCAGCTTTATTTCCTATTCTTCTAGTAACTTCTGTGTTTTACATTCTTTGAGTCCATAATATTCGTAGATTCTTCTGTAGTACCAAAATTCAAAGTGTTTAAGCCATAACGAAGAGTAGTGAATACGTAACACTGAAGCATCCTTAAGCCTAGTCCTAACCTTATATCCCGACAACAAATTTTTTTTAAGTTTAACGAATGATGCACGTTCTATTTCTATTCACACTCTTAATTATTACAGTATCTTCAACAATCAATTGGATGTTTGCATCTGCTAATTTAGGCATTATTATGCATTTAGTTTTTTCTTTCAATTATTTTCAAATTCATTATTAGCCTGTATTTATGACAGCATTTATTAAGGCGTTGCGTTACGTTCTGTAAATCATTGTTATTATCTGTTATCATTACTGTATCGTCTGTAAAACGTACGTTATTCAAAACTTCTTCATTGATAGATATACCTTCTTCAGCGTGTGAGAGCGCTTCTTTAAATACCACTTCACTGTAGACATTGGACAGTAGTGGTGACAACACGCAACCCTGGCGGACTCCTCTCTTTATTTTAATATCTCGCTTATTCTGGTTGTCATCTCTTATCTTGGCAGTTTAATTCCAATATCGATTAGATATAATTTTCATATCACAACTGTCAATATTTTTGCTTTTTAGGACAAATTAATTTTTAATAACAAATCTTTATTTTTGACTAATAAGAAAACACACAAAAACAAAACGCACAAAAATAGAGACAAATTTATCTTTATGTGTAAAATGCAAAAGTTTACTTAAATGTGATTTTTAGTGTATTCTCTGAACGGCGCACAGTGAGGCAGAAAAATCGATTAAAAATGTTTTTTGCTTTATTCGACCAATAGATGATTAGTGTTTTTTGCAGAGGCCTACCTTTTAGGCAATCAGAACTAGAATTAAAGTCCACAACAAACCTAACGGTAGCCTTTAGACAGCGAAGAACCATGAATACCGGAATAGTCTATTTTTTTTGTATTAAAGTCGGGTATATTAATTTCTCTTATACTCAAACGGAAAATTGGTTTTGATTACACCAAAAAACCTAGGGAATCCTAGGGTATTTGCAAAATACTACAAAAACTTGGTGTCTACGCTACAAAGAAACTCGCTAATTCTATGCCTGTGTAAACAAACAAATAGGAGAGAGGAGATCGTAATCCTTCAGTTCTCTACTTTATACTAATATTGGAGGCTATAGCGTTTCCTTTACGTAAATATTAACATACAAGCATAAAATTAATATTAATGAGGAAGAGGTAAAGAAAGCATTAAGGAAATTTAAAAATTTTAAAATCATCAGAAGAGAACGAACTCCTTACGGAGGACCAGATCTGATCAAACGAGTATTAAAACTAATCCAAAAAATAATAAAACAAAACAGAATTCCTCACAAAGGGAGGAATTAACTTATTAACCCTTTGACGGCCAGAGAATATAAATTTTCTCGCCCCTTAACGTCCGGAGGTACATTTGAGTACCATCAAGTTTGAATGTCGTTTAAACAACATTGCATTCAGTTCACGCGAATTTAGGTAACGGTACATTAAAGTCCTATGTTTAGTTCATATTTTTACGATTAAAAGTAACGGCAACGCTGCTTTGTCTCTCGATATTCTCTGTGATACGGTTAGTGTGCACTGATGTTTTTTATAGTGAAGGTCATCCTGTGTTTATTATTTCTAACGGACAAATTGCTTGAAAATACAGGTGCTAAGGATATAAATTTCTAAATGTAAGTAATTTTCTTGTAATTTTGGGTAATTTACAAACTGTGCAATGTAATGTGAGCTTTCATATAGGCCGTTTTTTAAATGGTACCTATAAGTACCTTTGGCTCGTAATGCATGACTTTTTTTCTACATTTACAGATTGCATGGAATCGAAATAAAAGTCCTCTAACTGATACCCAGCTACTTGAAATCATGAAAATGATGATTTCGAAGATCTTCCTTTAGACAATAATGATGATACAGATATTGAATCTGACTTGGAAGAGAACGTTGTGGATTTATTTTCCGCTGCTCAAATGACACGAATTGATGGAAGACCACCTGGACTAGAAGAGCATCAAACTGAAGAGGAATCGCAGGTAGCTGAAGGAGAACATACAGAAAATCAAGGTGCATCATCCAGAGAGGCCAATTTGGAAAAAAATATAAAAGAAAGAGGAGAGAGACATTAAAATACCAGATTATAATTTAGCTGAAAATGATTGGGAACCAAACTTTGCTGAATGCCAAACCTCTTTAGATATATTTTTAAAATTATTGGGAGATTCCATAGACCATATCGTTTTTCATACGAATGTATACGCAACCTAAAAAGGAAAAAATTTACAAATGACCAATAATGAATTTCTAGTATTTGTAGGTCTAAATTTTTTTATGGGGTACCACATCTTGCCCAGTATCGAAAGTTATTGGTACACTTTCGCTGATCTCCAAATACCACTTGTGGCAAAAACTATGAGAAGAAAGAGATTCAAAGAAATTCTCTCTAATTTTCACTTAAACGACAACTCAATGATACCGAAAGACAAATTGTATAAACTAAGACCTCTGACAAAAATATTAAATAAACAATTTGGAAATTTATATTTTGGTACAAGAACAGTGTGCGTACATGAATCCATTGTTAAATTCAAAGGTCATTCGTCCATAACGCAGTATAATCCAATGAAACCCATAAAAAGGGGATTCAAGGTATGGTGTCTTTCTGATATGAAAGTATTTATAAAAAAAAAATTATATATATCAAGGCAAAAACGAGGCTTTGGATAATAAATATGAAGACTATCAACTCAGTGAACGAGTTGTTTTGCAAATGACTGAAGATGAATGGGGAAAGCATAGAATTGTATATTTTGATAACTTTTTTA